CTTTCTTTCTTTCTTTCTTTCTTTCTTTCTTTCTTTCTTTCATCCCTAGAACTCTCTGTTTGGCCCCAGACCCAATTTTTTTTAAATGATTTTTGTCTTTTTGACTTTGTTTTTTAAGTTCTTTATATATTTGGGATATTAATCTTCTGTCAGATATGTAGCTGACAAAGATTCTCTCTCATTCTGTAGGCTTTCTCTTCACCCTGTTGACTGTTTCTCTAGCTGTGTAGAAGCTTTTTAGTTTTATGAAGTCCTACCTATCCATTGTTGGCTTTCTTACACCTATATCCTACAGAGTGTAGCCTATGTTTTCTTCTAGGATTAATATTTGGTCATTATTTCTTTAAAAATTTTTTTTCTTTATTTTATTTTTTTCAGACAAGGTCTCACCATGTATCTTGGGCTGGCCTCAAATTCATTATCCTTCTGACTCGGCCATCAGAATGCTGGGATCACAGGTTTGTGCTATCATGCTCAGCTTCTTAAGCTCTCATTTCTGACCCTCTGTGTTTCCTCCTAAGACACCAGCACGTGTATTATAGGATATAGTATGCTCCATGTTATTGTCTCCGGAATCCCTAAACTCTGTTCATTTTTCCATCTCATTCCTCAGCCTGGAAAAAATGTCTCAGTTGACTGAGTCTTAGATTCATTGATTCTTCCTTGTACCAAAGATAATCTGCGGATCAACCCTTCGAGTAAATTTTTATTTTAGAGAGTCTTTAACTGCAAAATTTGGTGGTTTTGTCATGTATGTATTTCTGCCACCTTGTTGTTCTTTTCTGTTTAAGAGGACATCATTTTCCCATTCTTCCTTCAATTTTGGGAAATTAGTCCAGTTCTTTGTTTTTTAAGGCTATAGCTGGACTAGGCAAAAGAGGATGGCATTAGAGCAAGTGAAAATCATGAAAGATGAATATTGAAGACATCATCATCATTGTTATCATCAATGTTGTTATTTACTTCTAAAAACATTGTTCATTCTTTAAGACTGATAAGCTAATACAGGTTGAATATATTTTATCTGAAATGTTTGGGACCAAAACTACTTCTGATTTTGTATTGTAGATTATAGAATACTTGCTTAGACTTCATCAATTGACCATCCAAAATCCAAGGTTTTGAGTGTCATTGTTTGGACAAAACGAATCTCAGATTTTGTATTTTCTAATTAGGTATGCTCATTATGTAATAATATATTGTAAGCAAAAATATCACTCAAATATAACATTTTAAGAACTTATTTACCTGAATATGTAATTAAACCCTGAAATAAAGGGTTTAGTTTTGTTTTTAATTTTAGCATTTTTTAGGGGTTTGTCTGAAACTCTAAAAGCCACTTTCATCTCTTCCAAAACATTTCTTGATACACCATCTGGTGTGAATGCTGGACAAGATGATTTTGATGTCACATTGCATTTACATGAACATGCAAGAATGAATGACTTGTAACCACAAGTCTTCATGTTAAAGTGTCTGTGTATCTTTCTTCCAGGTATGTAAAGGAAGGGGATACTGTGTCTCAGTTTGACAGCATCTGTGAAGTTCAAAGTGATAAGGCCTCTGTCACCATCACCAGCCGTTATGATGGTGTCATTAAGAAGCTCTATTACAATCTGGATGATATCGCGTATGTGGGGAAGCCACTGATAGACATCGAAACAGAAGCTTTAAAAGGCAAGCGTGTTTTGCTGCATTTATTACTGCTTTACTTTTGTTGCTGAATCCCAATATGAAATCCCAGTCATGACGCTTACAAATTGATGTGGCCAAAGAGAATTCATTACGAGATCCATACAGAGGAAAATACAAACATTAGCCAGTTCCATTGGTGTCAGAGAGCTGGCTTTCTATCTCAGAAGTTGATCGAGCTCATCATCTTGAGAAATAGCTTTAGCATCGGACTGGGAGAAGTTCTGTCGTGGTATATGGGAGATGGCTAAGTGGGTAAAGTGGCTTCTACACAAGCACAAGGGCCTGAGTTTGCATCCCTAGCACCCATGAAGAAGCTGGGCATGGCCGAATGCATCTGTAACCTTAGAGCAGGTGAGTGCAGAGGTAGATCGCAGTAACCCACTGGCCAGCCAGGCTGCCCAGAAGGTTCAGTGAGAGACCTTGTCTCAATAACTAAGATAGAAAAATGATTGTGGAAGACATCTGACATTGACCCCTGGCCTTGATGTGGTAGTTTGAATAGGAATGGTCCCCCCTCCCACAGATAATGTGTTTGAACTCATGGCCCACAGGAAGTGGCACTATTAGGAAGTGTGACCATGTTGGAGGAAGTGTGTCACCGTGGGGTGGTCTTTGAGGTCTCCTGTGCTCAAGCTACAGCCAATGTGGCACACAGTACTTTTCTGCTGCCTGTAGATCCAGATGTAGAATTCTCAGCTCCTTCTGTAGCACTTTGCCTTCCTGCACGCTGCTATGCTTCCTGCCATGATGAGAATGGACTAACTCTCCGAAACTGTAACCAGCCCCAATTAAACCCTAAGTAACACAGTTTTTATATATATATCCATGGGTAGGACTGCAAGTGTGGGCACATCACACAGTGAAAACTAGGGCTGGTTTGGTAATATAGACTTTTAATCTTTGCACTCAGGAAGTAAAGGCAGATCTCTGAGTTCCAGGCCAGACAAGGATACATGGGACCCCGTCTCAAAAACAAACAAAACAAAAAAACAGTAAACATAAAAATATTTTAAAATAAGTCTGTAATGGGATTCCTAAGGTAGCATTTGTTGTCTTGGAAATATTGAATAAAGACAGAAGTAGTCCACTTCAGAAGTCAGGAAGAAGTGTCTGAATGATCGTGGCTGGCAAGTTCTTCAACTATATTGTTTATATAATAATAATATCTAATATTATAATCAAATTTTTCTGAACTACATTTGCAGTGGTTTGATAGGAATGAATTAGGCTCATATATTTGAATGCCTAATAGTTATTAGGGTGTATAACTCTTTAATAAGATTAGAAGGATTCGGAAGTGTGGCTTTGTTGGTGGAAGTATGTCACTGTGGTGGGCTTTGAGGTTTCAAAAGCCTATGACAGGCCCAGTCTCTATCTGCTTGTAGATCAGGAGGTAGCTCTCAGCTTCTGCTCTAGCACCAAACCTGCCACCATTATGGACCATCCCTCTGAAACTATAAGCAAGGCCCCAATTAAATGCTTTTTATTATAAGAATTGCCTGGGGCCAGAAAGTTGGCTCAGTGGTTAAGAGTACTGGCTGCTCTTCCAAAGGACCTGGGTTCAATTCCCAGCACTCCCATGGAAGCTCACAACTCTGTAACTCCAGTTCCAGGGGAGCTGATACCCACCCCCAACACACACACACACAAGCAGGCAGAACATCAATGAACACACAATATTTTTAAAAAAGAAATTTTTTTAAAGGGGCTAGCAAGATGGCTCAGAGGTTAAGAGCACTGTCTGCTCTTTCAGAGGTCCTGAGTTCAATTTCCAGCAACCACATAGTGGCTCACAACCATCTATAGTGAGATCTGGTGCCCCCTTCCGGCATTCGGGCACACATGCAGGCAGAACACCATAAATAATTAAAATCTAAAAGAAAGACGTGCCTTGGTCATTGTGTCTCTTCACAGGAGTATTGACTAAGACAACATTTTAGGTCCTTTTGTTTATTTTTTTCCTTTGATAAATTCTAACTTTAAAAACGGGGTTGGGGAGGTGTCTAAGAAACAGACCCAGTAAGGATATTTGGGTAATTCATTGAATAGCAACAGAGATAAATTAGAAAATGCCTGATGATCAGTGACAACTTGTAACTAATCAGTGACAACTTGTAACTATTTGCCTGTGGTAGGGTAGAGAGACATGAAAAGGGTTAGAAAATACTACCAAGGAATTCAAGGAATACTACCAAGGAATTCAACTTAATTTTTAAAAAATATTTTACCTATTTATTTTGTGCGCATGAGCATGCTACGATGCACACTCAGAGATCTGAGAACAACTTTTGGGAATTGTTTTTCTCCTTCCATCATGAAGATCCTGAGAGTCAAATTCAAGTTGTCAAGTTTATGAACAAGTGTCTATACCAATGAGCTATCTCCCTGGCCCCTGGCTTACTTTTATTTTTTATTTTTATACAGAGTCTCCTTATGTGGCTTTGGCTGGCCTGGAACTCACAGTATAGATCAGGGTGGCTTGCAAATTCCTCCCAAAGGCTTGTGCCAGATCAGGCTTGTTCTGATCTGTACATTTTTGAGGGTGAAAATGTGTTGGTTGTCTTTGATCCTACTGATGATTCAGGGGTATAAACATATTTAAAGCTTATTAACTTCCCTATTTTTGCATATGCAGTTTGTTATCTCAGTTCTATCTCAGCAAATCTCTTAAAATTAATAAAACTGGAAAGCTAGGCTCATGAATTTAGGGAATATTCTGGACAGTTCTATTGCATGCTGGCTTTATTTTGCATGTGTAACTTTTATTTTCATACTTTTACCTTTTTATAATTTTAATTTTCCTGGCATGAAGCGTTTTAGAAGGATGAATTACATTATATTTTGTATTATTATATTACCTATACATGCCTGCACATTGAGCCACAGAAGCCAGAGAAATCAGACCTCCTGGAGCTGGAGTTATGGGCCACCTGACATCAGTGCTAGGAACTGAATTCCAGTCCTTTGCAGTGCGGTATGTGCTCTCTCCAGAGCCACCTCTCCAGCATTTGAGAAGTAAAAGCAGAAGGACCAAGAGTTCAGGGTCATTCTTGGCTACTTAGTGAGTTCAAGGCCAGCCTGGGCTGCACAAAACCCAGACTCAAAAACAAAACACAGTCCAAGGCATTGATACTCTTCCAAACGTCGCCCTAGCACCCCAGCAAAAGTTTGACCTTCCCCTAACTTTTATAGTGGTGGGAAGTGAGCTTAGGGCTTGTGGATGTCAGAAAAATGTACCACTGTGCAACATCCCTAGCCCTGTTTTCCTATGTGAAGTAGTCCAGGGTCTTAGTCATAGATAGACCAATAGTTGTGAAGTATGTGTGTGTGTTGTATGTACTTGCTCATGTGTGCATGTGAGCATGCCTGTGGACATTGATACCGGTGTCTTCCTCAATCAGTTCTCACAGTATTTTGACGGAGTGTGTCCCTCACTGAACCAGGAGCTCATCAGTTCAGTCCTACTTATTGGGCAATGAGCTCCAGGGATGCTTGCTTCCACTCTTCCCAGTGCTGGAGTTATAGACACACACTGCAGTGTCTGACACTTTCCTGGGTGCTGAGGATCCAAAGTCGGGTACTTAAGCTTTCATAACAGACGCTTTTCTGACTCAGCCATCTGGCCAGCCCCGCCACTAAGCTTTGTTTAAGACATGGTTTTGACTCTAGTTGTCTAACCTTGCTCCCAGATTCAGAAGAAGATGTTGTTGAAACTCCTGCTGTGTCCCATGAGGAGCACACTCACCAAGAGATAAAAGGCCAGAAAACATTAGCAACGCCTGCAGTTCGTCGGCTGGCAATGGAAAACAATGTAAGTCTTCCGAAAACTGAAGTCTGAGACTACATAGAAAGTATACATTTGCGTCTTCTGGAAAAAAAAAAAATCTCTCTTTGAAATGGTTTAAGCTGGAATTAATGAAAGCAGTTGCTATGTTAAAGTAATCGTGGCACAAAATCACTTGGGAGGGGGCAGGAGAGACAGCTGGACTGTTAAAGCATTTGCTGCTCTTCCAGAGGACCAGGGTTCACAACCACCACCAGCAACTCCTGCTCTAGAGTATCTGATACCATCTTCTGACACCTAAGAACACTTCAGGATGTGATATAAATTCACAGAGACATATACGCCAGGAAAAATAAATCTTTAAAAAAATAGGAAAAAAAATGACAGGACAGTATGAACTTAGTACTTCTTACTCATTGAATAACATGGTGCCTTTATGCTTTCACAGAGCTCAGTAGCAGCAGCTAACATTTCTTGAATCTTTCTAAATACCAGCACCTTGGGGCTGGGGAGATAAGGTAGCTCAGGCAATGGAGTGCTTACGACACAAATCTGAGGACATGAGTGTGCTCCCTAGCTCCCTCCTAAGAAGCCTGGCACCTTGGTGCACATGTGTAATCCCAACACTCAGGATGGAGAGGTTAGAGATCTCTGCGGCTCACTGGCTACCCAGTCTGGTTTCAAGTGGCAACTCAAAAAATATGGCGGACAGCTCTCACGCCAGAGTTAGCCTCTGGCCTCCACGTGCACATGCTCAGGTGTGTGTTTGTGTCCCCACACTCATGTGAACACACACACAAAAAGCACATCAAAAAAAGCAAACACGCACATAGTGCTATGTTAGTTTAGGTCAGCTAAAAGCACAATTTAAGACTCTGGATGCCTGTGATTGTTTTCCTAAAGAAGCCAATAGCTATAAAGGGAATGAAAGGATAGCAAAGGGCTGAGACTGAAAACGAGAGAGTCATGGATGTGGTAACAGAAATCTGCCGCGCTACACCATGCTGGCACCAGGAGATTTGTATTGTCTCTGTCCCATCTGTATGCTAGTCAGCTTTCTATACCTCCGTCAAAATACCCGAAATACACCATGTTATAAAGAAGAAATGTTTAATTTGGCTCCTAGTTTCACAGTTTTCAGTTCACGAACAATTGGCCCCCTTGTGTTAGGTTTGTGGTGGTTCAGCACATCAAGGTAGGAGTGCATGGGAGAAAAGTCTCACTCTCCTCATGGCTGGGAATTGAGAAGGTCATCCACAATCCCATAGTAACTGGAAAAATCTCCCAGTAGACCCCCAACTCAAAGTTTCCAACTCATTCTAACAGCTCCAAATTGAACCAGCTTTGTATTTTTTATTTTTTTGTTTTGCTTCTTGAAATATAGGAGCTATTATGTGGTCCAGGTTGACCACAAAATCGCTGTATAGCTCAGGCTATCCTCGTGATTTCTAGTCTAACTCAGTCATCATAGCACTAGAAGTACAAGTGATAACCAGTATACCTGTAGAGCACAGGCCTTGAACACAGTCCGTGGGGATGTTCCAGGTCCAAACTGTAGACTCTTCTGTCACTCTGCGGTGGATAAAATGCCAGGCATCACGGCTCCCTGACACTAATAGGTATTTGCTTGTCTCAGCCTTCCACCTAAGGAGCTACTGCGAGACCTACACTAGAAAAGCAGCCAGTGCAGCACACAGCTGACCATGCAGTCAGCCAGAGTCTAACAGGGACTGTCATCTCAGAAGGAGTGGGCTCACTCCGCTGTTACCCCAGCAATCATCACATTCATTATTTTAAACACGTGTGTGCCAGGCTCCATCCACATTATCTCTGCTTCTTAACCACAGCTCTTCAGGGTGTTTGGAATCTCACTGTTTTGCTGGTGAGAAAGGACAGCGTTAACTTGTCCAAACTCAAAGTAAATAACAAAACTCTTGGAGGAGAGTTCTGTTTACACAGCCTGAGTTCTTCCCACTCTGCCCAGCTATGTGGAATATTTCTGAGAAAAGTAGTTGTTGCCAGGGGGAAACAAAAGGCCATATGTTTGTATTGTACACATGTGTAATTGAACCGTAGAAATGCTCAGTTCTCCTGCTTATGAGGAACTATTCAAGAGAGAACCCTAAGATGCGTTCTGCCTTGTGTGCTCAAGGGCAGATGCTCCACAAACTGACCTTGTTAGGGGGAAAGTTGTAAATAGATGCTCGGTATCTCAGACTCATTTAGAACTTGCTGTTATAGCCCAGTCTGACTTTAAATTCACAATCCTCCTGCCTTTGCTGCTTAAACACTAAGATCATAGGCCTGTGTCACCGTGTCTGGCTTCTCTCTTTTCTTTCACATTCATATTTTCATTTGTTTGTTTTTAAATTTATTCTTCTCTCTCTCAATACATCCTGACCACAGTATCCCCTCCCAGTTCACGTAGTCCCCTAAACCCCCAGCCCAGATCCACGCCTCCTGCATGTCCCAGAAAAGTGTAGGCCCCCCAGAGGCGTGGCTGTTATCAGCGGAAAACATCATAACAAAATACCATAAGCCAAGACACAAACCGTAGAGCAGGCGAAAGAGTCAAAGATACCCCTACTCTCACTGCTAGGATTCCCACAGAAATTTCAAGCCAAAAATGCAGAGGACCTAGCACAAACCCATGCAGTCCCCATGACTGTTGCTTCAGTCTCTGTGAGCCCTGTGAACTCTGCTTAGTTGCTTCTGTGGGCCATGTTCTCCTGGTATTGTTGGCCCCTCTGGCTCCTACAATTTTTCCTCTCTGTCTTGTGTGAGGTTCCCCATGCTACAAGGGGACCGACCTGATGAAGATCTCCAATTTGGGCTCTCTCCGCCTAATGTTTGGTTGTGAGTCTCTGCATCTGCTCCTATCAGCTCTGGGAGGAAGTCTTGCTGATGATTGTTGGCTAGGCAAGGATAGCCAGGACTGTTACAAAGAGAAACCCTTTTTCAAAAAACACAAAAATTTTAAAAATATGTCTTAATTATACAAAATAGTGGGTTTCATTAATAAGCAATAGGAATTATGGTAGAAGGATTCTCAAGAGAGATGGCTCAGTGGTAAAGATCCCTGCTTCTCTTACAGAAGACCAAGATTTCATTCACAAAACATGTCAGTTAACAACTGGCTGTAACTCTGGCCCTAGGGGATCTGGTACTGTCGTCTGGCCTCCTTGGGCACCAGGCACATACATGGCACATATAAAGGCAAGGCACACAAAACAAATAAAATCTTATTGAAAAAAAAAAAGAATAATGAGAGAGCAGAGCAGAGTGGGACATGCCTTTAATCTCATCACTCAGGAGGCAAAGGCAGGTAGATCTCTTGAAGTTCAAGTACCTGATCTGCATGGTAAGTTCCAGACCAGCCAGGACTACGTACAGTGAGACCTGTCTTTAAAAAAAAAAAAGAAAGAAAGGGGTAGGGGAGGAAGGAAGGAAAGAAGGAAGAAAGAAGGGGGGAGAATTATGGAAGAGATTTAGAGATTTAAATGGGCAAATGAAAAACTTTGTATAAAGGTAACAAACACACTATACACGGGGGCGGGACAAGATGGCGGCGCCGGGAGGACTCTCATTCTGACCAGCAGCACAGCAGGATCGGCACAGTCACTAGCAATCAGAACTCTCGGGCATAAAATACAGGTGATTGTGTTTCCCAGGTGAGAGGATACCCCACGGTGGGGGATTCAATCAGCTTTTAACTCACCCCGCTAAACCAAGGAAGAGATCACGATTCCGCCAGACGCTTGGTCGCCAGCCCCAGCCTAGAGCCACACACCAGTGTCTCTGGTCACGGTCCCAGACTGAACCTTGCACACTGCACTATCAGAGACTGGAATTTTCAGTCAAGAGATAACCCCACAGTGCAGGAAACAATTGCGACCGGCCTTAGGTCACCCAGACATCCCCTGGAAAAGACTCGGGTTCCACGGGCGCCCCAGGAGCCAGCCCAGAGCCAGAGCCGGGAACCCAGGCTCCGGCACAGAGCCCTGCCTGCGCGCCTGATTCGTTGCCTCAGCTAGAACTGTGGGCCCCAGGGCACCAGAGACTGAGTCTCACTGTCAGGTGCAAACCCACAGGGAGGGAAACAGCTGGTCTGATCTCAGAGCACTCAGCCGACACCCCCACCCCGAAAAGGTCTCGGGAAAATTACCCAGTTTAGGCAGACGCCCAGGCTCCCAAAGGTCGGAAAGGCAGACACGGGCAATTTCTGCGCACCAGCTAGCTGGCAGAGACTGAGCGGTGCACCCCAGGGCAAAAAAGAGACTGGGAGTCCCTGTCTCCAGAGAATCCACAGAGAAGGAAGGAAACTGTACGGACTTAAATCACCCAGTCCTTCCCTGGAAAAAGTCTCCCAGACCGGCGGGGCCCAGCCACCATCACTGAGCTGTGCTCCAGACACAGGCACAAACATTGCTGCGCGCCAGATGTCCAACTGTGTCATAGCAGCTGATCATTAAATTTACAGCAAGAAACCCAGAAACAGGGCAGCTGTCTTCAGGACTTCCCTGGGTGAGAGGAGAACCCTCTCGACTAACAAAGACCACAGTTACCACTCAGGTCTCTAAACCTGAGGTGAGCAGCAGCAACTCCTGAAAAAAACGCCAGCCATCCAGGGACTATACCCAAAAACCTGGAAGACTTCCTTCAAGAAAAACCAGCCTTCTGCCAAGGGGATTCTCTCTACCACAGGATCCTCAGAACCACCAGAAACTAACCCCAAACACCTAAGATAGCCCAATGGGTAGAGGCCAGTGTAAAAGCTCAAGTAACAAAAGACAGAGCAATATGCCATCTCCAGAACCCAGTTACCCAGGGGCAAGTAGCCCTGGACACCCCAGCATAACTGAAATCCAAGATGACCTAACAACTATGCTCATGAAGATAACAGAGGAAACAAATAAGATACGTAAAGACATAGAGGAAGATAAACTCAAACAGAATATTGCCATCCATAAAGAAATAGAGGAAGTTGCAGCCAAACAGTTTGTGGCCTTTAGAAAGGAAATGCTTAAAGCACTGAATGAAATAAAAGAAACAGAGGTTGGTTCAAACAATCAGCTGAAAGAAGTGATTGAAAAACAGGAAAATACAGTCAGACAAGTGAAGGAAATCGACAAAATGGCTCAAGATCTGAAGATAGAATTGGAAAAATTAAAGAAAACACAAATGGAGGAAATTGCAGAGAAAAAGAACTTAGGGAAGAAAACAGGAACTACAGAGGTTAGCATAACCAATGGAGTACAAGAGATGTAAGAAAGAATCTCAGGTGTGGAAGATACAATGGAAGAAATCGATGTATCTGTCAAAGAAAATGTTAAATCCAAAAAATTCTTGACACACACTGTCCAAGAAATCCAAGACAATATGAAAAGACAAAACCTAAGAATAATAGGAATAGAGGAAAAAGAAGACTCCCTTCTCCAAGGCCCAGAAAATATTTTCAACAAAATCATTGAAGAAAATTTCCCCAAGTTAAAGGAGAGGCCAATAAGAATACATGAGGCCTACAGAACACCCAACAAATTTGACCAGAAAAGAAAATCCTCCCGCCACACAATAATCAAAACAGTAAGTATACAGAACAAAGAAAAAATACTAAAAGCTGCAAAGGAAGAAGGCCAAGTAACATATAATGGCAAACCCATTAGAATCACACCTGACTTTTCAACAGAGACTATGAAAGCCAGAAGGGCCTGTTTTTTAACTATTCCTCTGTAGTGCAGTTTGAAATCAAGGATGGTAATACCTCCAGAAGTTCTCTTATTGTACAGAATTCTTTTAGCTATCCTGGGTCTTTTATTTTTCCATATGATGTTGAGAATTGCTTTCAAGGTCTGTAAAGAATCTTATTAGAATTTTGATGGGAATTAAAATGAAACTGTAGATTGTTTGTTATAAGATGTCCATTTTTATGATGTTAATCCTACTGATCCATGCACATAAGAGCTCTTTCCATGTTCTAATATCTTCTTCAGTGTCTTCAAAGACTTGAAGTTCTTGTCATATAATTTTTCACTTGCTTGGCTTGAGTTACACCAAGATATTTTATATTATTTGTGGCTATTGTGAAGGATGTTGTTTTTCTAATTTCTTTTTCAGCCCATTATATCACTTTATCACTTGTAAAATGAAAGCTACTAATTTATTTTTTTAGTTAATTTTGTGTTCAACTATATTGTTGAAGTTATTTATCACCTGTAGGAGTTCTCTGGTAGCTAAAGAGAGAATTCTCTACAAAGGAAACTCTAATGGCTGAGAAGGACTTAAATGTTCAACGTCCTTAGTCATCAGGAAAATGCAAATCAAAATGACTGAGATTCCATCTTATGCCTATCAGAATGGCGAAGATCAAAACTCAAGCGACAGCACATGCTGGAGAGGATATGGAGCAAAGGGGACATTCTTTCATTGTTGGTAAGAATATAAACTTGGACTTGAAGGCATGTGGCTTAGAAGGCCAGTGAAGGGGGCAAGATGACGGCGCCAGGAGGACTCTCATTTTGAGGAGCAGCACAGCAAGATTGTCACAGTGACCAGCAATCCGAACAGAGGAAAGTTCATAGCACTAAGTGCCTTCAAGAAGAAATTCGAGACAGCTCATTCAAGCAACTTAATGGCCCACTTAAAAACCCTAGAAAAAGAAGAAGCAGACACACCAAAAAGGAGTAGACGGCTGGAAATAATCAAACTCAGGGCTGAAATCAATCAATTAGAAACAAATAAAACAATTCAAAGAATCAATGAAACCAAGAGCTGGTTCTTTGAGAAAATCAACAATATCGACAAACCCTTAGCCAAGCTAACTAAAAAGCAGAGAGACACCACCCAAATCAACAAAATCAGAAATGAAAAGGGGGACATAACTACAGACACTGAGGAAATCCAAACAATCATCAGGACTTACTTCAAAAGTCTATATGCCACAAAATTTGAAAATCTAAACGAAATGGACAATTTTCTTGATCGATTTGACTTACCAAAGCTGAATCAGGACCAGGTAAATCAATTAAATAGTCCTATATCCCCCAAGGAAATAGAAGCAGTCATCAAAAGTCTCCCATCCAAAAAAAGCCCAGGACCAGATGGCTTCAGCGCAGAATTCTACCAGACCTTCAAAGAAGAGCTAACTCCAATTCTCTACAAACTATTCCACAAAATAGAAACAGAAGGAACATTACCAAACTCATTCTATGAAGCCACAGTCACCTTGGTACCTAAACCTCACAAAGACTCAACTAAGAAAGAGAATTTCAGGCCAATCTCCCTTATGAACATTGATGCAAAAATACTTAACAAAATACTTGCAAACCAAATACAAGAACACATCAAAGATATTATGATATCTTTGGTCATATCCACTATGACCAAGTAGGCTTCATCCCAGGTATGCAGGGGTGGTTCAATATATGGAAATCCATCAATGTGATCCACCATATTAACAAACTGAAAGATAAAAACCACATGATAATCTCCCTAGATGCTGAAAAAGCATTTGACAAAATCCAACATCCGTTCATGTTTAAAGTATTGGAGAGATCAGGGATACAAGGCACATATCTAAACATAGTAAAGGCGATATACAGCAAGCCTATAGCCAACATCAAACTCAATGGAGAGAAACTTAAAGCAATCCCACTGAAATCAGGGACAAGACAAGGCTGCCCACTCTCTCCATGTCTCTTCAACATTGTGGTACATCTATACAATGGAGTATTACTCAACAATGAAAAATAAGGAAATCATGAAATTTGCAGGTAAATGGTGGGACCTGGAAAGGATCATCCTGAGTGAGTTGTCCCAGAAGCAAAAAGACACACAGGGCATATACTCACTCATATAAACATACAGCATAGGATAAACCTGCTAAAATCTGTACATCTAAACAAACTAAGCTAAAGAGAGGACCCTAACTAAAAATGCTCAATCCCATCCTGAAAGGCAAAGAGGATGGACATCAGAAGAAGAAAACAGGAAACAACCTAGGAACCTGCTACAGAGGGCCTCTGAAAGCTTCTGCCCTGCAGACTATCAAAGCAGATGCTGAGCCTGATGGCCAACTGTTGGGCAGAGTGAATGGAATTTTATGTAAGAAGTGGGAAATAGCAAGAGCTGGAGAGGACAGGAACTCCACAAGGAGAGCAACAGAGCAAGAAAATTTGAACACAGGTAATTTCCCAGAGACTCATATTGCAACCAAGGACTATTCATGGAGATAACCTAGAACCCCTGCACAGATGTAGCCCATGGCAGTTCAGTATCCAAGTGGGTTCCATAGTAATGGGAAGAGGGACTGCCTCTGACATAATCTGATTGGCCTGCTCTTTGATCACCTCCCTCTGAGGGGGGAGCAGCCTTACCAGGCCACAGAAGATGACAATGCAGCCACTTCTGATGAGAACTGATAGACTAAGATCAGAAAGAAGGAGAGGAGGACCTCCCCTATCAGTGGACTTGTGAGGGGCATGCATGCAGAAAGGGGAGGGACGGTGGGATGGGGAGGAGAGGAGGGAGGGGTTTATCGGGGGATACAAAATGAATAAAGTGTAATTAATAAAAGTTAAATAAAAAATTAAAAGTAACAAACACATACACAGAGATCCTGAGTTTATTTCTTCAATGATGAAATGTTGCTTTTTCAAACTAAGTTACTGAGCAAAATTTTTACCTTTAAACAATTCCACTATCTTTTGGTAGGCAGTGGGGGAAGTTGGTTTTGGTTTTTCGAGACAGTTTTTCTGTGAAGCCTTGTCTGTCCTGGATCTCACTCTGTTGATCAGGCTGGACTTGAACTCAGAGACGCACTAGCTTCTGTCTCCCAAGTGCTGGAATTAAAGGCATGCATCACCACTGCTCCATTTTTGAACTTAGGTTTAATTTTTAGCATTAAAATGTGTTCTGTTTTAGATTAAGTTGAGTGAAGTTGTTGGCTCTGGAAAAGATGGCAGAATACTTAAGGAAGATATTCTCAACTTTTTGGAAAAGCAGACAGGAGCCATACTGCCTCCCTCACCAAAAGCTGAAATCACACCACCTCCGCCACACCCCAAAGACAGGACCTTTCCCACGCCAATATCAAAGCCTCCAGTATTCACAGGCAAAGACCGAACAGAGCCTGTAACAGGTAATGGAAACAGCAGTAATAGGAAGCAGTGATTTATTTGGGGGGAAACTATCTCAGAAGATGCATGTTCATCCTGTAATGTTTTTGATCTTTTTTTTTTTTTTTTTTTTTTTTTTTTTTTTTTTATTTAGGCCAGGCTGGCTTCAGACTCAAAGAGATCCTCCTTCCTCTGCCTCCCAAGTGCTGGGATTAAAGGCATGCACCACCACACCTGGCTTTCAATTCTTACTAATAGAAAAGTTCACATTTATCATGAAATTATGATAATGCAATGGCACAGTTTTTTTGAACTTATATTGAAAAATAACTATCGAATTTATATAAAATGATTTAATTTCTTCTAGGCTTCCAAAAAGCAATGGTCAAGACCATGTCTGCAGCCCTGAAAATTCCCCACTTTGGCTATTGTGATGAGCTTGACCTTACTGAACTGGTTAAGCTTCGGGAAGAATTGAAACCTGTTGCTTTGGCTCGTGGAATCAAACTCTCCTTCATGCCCTTCTTCTTAAAGGCAAGTTTCACCCATTCCAAGCAAGGCCCCAGAGGACAGTGCCACTTTGTTTTGTAAAGATCGAGTCCTTTAGAAGGCTTGCATAAAATACTATTTCGAGCCATATCGTCAGACTTAGAGAAATAATGTCCAAACCCACCATCTCTTTGCATCATAGAAATTTATGCAGTTGAAATCTGTGTTATATTTTCATCTTCTTACCTCTTTTTTAAAGAACTATTTTAGGTTTAAATTACATTTGCCTATTTATTTAGTGTGTGAATGTGCATGTGTTGTGTACATGCATGCTAGCATGTACATGAGTGTATGTTTGTGTGTTTATGTGCTCAAGTGCACTCAATAGGACAACTTGGCAAAAGTCTGTTTCTTCCTTCTACCTCGTGAGTCCTAGGAATTGAACTCAGGTTGTCAGGCTTGGAGGAAAAGTGCCTTACTCAGGTCCTTTATTTGTTTGTTTTTGAAACAGAGTTTCACCATGCAGCCCTGGCTGGCCTGGAACATACTATTTAGACTGCTTTCAAGTGTGTGTGTGTGTGTGTGTGTGCTTGGTGTGTGTGTGCTTGGTGTGTGTGTTCATGCAAGTGCCCACAGAGGCTAGAAGAGTGTGTGAGTCAGATCTCCTGGAGCCAGAGTCAATAGGCAGTACAGTTGTGGTCATTCAACTTGGGTCCTAGGAACCAAACTCTAAACACTCTTAACCACTGAGCTGTCTCCCCACATCCTCTAGGAAGAGAATTGTGCCAACAGTTGAGGAAAGCCTTTAGTCCTAAAAGTTGCCGTTTGAGCTAAAATGAGACGTGAAGTGACTTTGTCCCCCTCAGTGGTTATTTATGTCCATGTATTCAGCACCTTCATGAGAATGTCTCCAGGGCAAGGCCTGGGGACCATTAGCTGCCATTGTGACTCTCCTTAGTGACCACTGCAGAGCAGGCGCTGTGTGTCAGGTTGGGTAAGCATACTCCAAACAGTCATCCCTTACTTCTCAGAGTCTCCCAGACATGTAGATACTACTCTCCCCACTTTCCTCTGAAGAAAATTAGGCCTCAGATGGGTTGAGAATCTTGTCACGGACATTAACAAATGGAAAAGCCACCTTTCTGGTGTGGTGTGATCTGCTCTCACTCAGCATGGCTCCTCTTGCCCTTTCCTCACAGTCTGCCAGGATGAATCATCCTTCAATCAAATTGAATCATTTCCCAGGTCTTTTCAACAGTTTCCCTTCAGTGCCTTTATGAGGTGTTCCTTTAGTGTGCCATACAGGACTCTGCTAGCTCTTCAGGACCCCTCCAGGCTCTTCAAACCCACTGCTGCTTTAATCACACTGAGCTATACACATAGTTGCTGGATTATATAACTTCACCTGAAATACCCACCAGGTCTCTCTCTCCCTCCCTCCCACCACCACCATTTTATTTTATTTTATTTTATTTTATTTTATTTTATTTATTTTATTTTATTTTATTTTATTTTTTTATTTTATTTTATTTTATTTTATTTTATTTTTTGTTTGTTTCACCAGATAGCACAGGCCGACCTGCAACTAACAGTCCTGTCCCAACCTTCCCAGTGCTGGGATTACAGGACTGAACCATCTCACCTGGCACCCTCTTTCTGTGTATCTTAAGTACCGAATCAGTTGAGATATAGACTCCAGAAGCCCTCTGGCTCCCACTCTGCATCGGGCACTGTTGTTGCCCACGTAGTGTACTGCCAGTGTTAACCTGGCCCCTTCCCCCGATGCTGAGCCCTTAGGACAAAACCCATTCCCCTTCAGCATCTGCCCTACAAGTGGATGGGCTCTAAGCATGCGGGGTAGCAGATGTCTCCAGATGAAAGGGGAGCATCTGGACTCCACTGAGGATATGGAGAGTCACCTTTAGGGATATCACTCAAACTTGTGTGAATGAGAAAACAGCTAAGGGCTTTCCAGCAACAGGGAGAAGCTGAATTAGCAAAGAACGTTTATAGCAGGAGTCACTTTGAGGCCAAATAACTTGTTTCTCTTACTATATAGCAAACCAAACACCCCCAGATTTAACAGACTAAAACAGCGGTTGTTCATGGGTCCACATGAGCCTGCAGGTAAGCAGGGTATGAGTCTGCCGGCCTTGGCAAGGTCACACCCTTCTGCAGAAACTTGCAGGTTGGCCAGAGGCTGGCCAACAGAAGGGAAGGCCACTTCTCTTCTGTGTCTTCATTCTCCTTCTCCTCAGGGTGCTCAAGTGTGTCAGCCCTGGGGCAGGTGAAGAGAAGTGGCAGAAATGCTCAGGCCCTTGTGTTCTCAAGTTCTGCTTCATTGAGCTTTTTCTGGTCCCACTGACCAAAACAATTCACATGACTAAGCAGGGATCTTGAAAGATTACTACCAAAGGGCGGAGATGCAGGGTGACATGAAAACTTGGAGTCATTACTTCAACCTCTACAGTTGGAGACAAGGAAAATGCTTTAAGCAGATAAATGGCAGTTGTGTTACACAGAGGTTAAACAGGGTAAAGGTATTAATGGGCCATTAGAGTAGGAACTGCACAGCCTTGAATGACCTGAGGCATTGCCAAGGCTGAGGCCTGTAGCTGGGAAGACATGGGGTTGGATAGGAGCTAGAGACCCTGAGACAATCTGGTAAGAGGCAGCCTGCAGAGAGCAGCTGATAAAAAGGTGGTTTGGAGAAGGCTGAGGAAAGTTTCACTTTCCCTGCACCCTCAGGGAAGAAGAGGGCCAATGTGCAGAGTGAACTGGAGCCTGAGAACTATAGGAAATCTGTGAAGTGGAGTGCTGGAGAAAGGCCCTGGGTTAGGGGAAGAGTGAAATGAAGGCTCACAAGAGCACACTACCCTGCGTCCCTAACCCTCTGCTTTCTGCCTCCCAGAGAGAGACCTGACTTCAAAAGGCCAAGGTGGACCAGCTCTTTGGCATCTCTTTGGATCTCTTTCATAGCTGTTTCTTCATTGTGCTAGTCAAAAGGAACAATCTCTTGATATTTTCAAAAATAAGTCTCATTAATTTTATTTTAAATTTAACCATAAATTTTAAAACATTTAAAATAAACCACAAAGTATGAAATGGGGTCGGAGGATGTGACCAAATCCCTGGACACACACAGCTTGTGTTTTCACTTGCAAAATTACTATACTCAAAACCTCCTTTCTATGGAGAATACTTTTGACTAACTTTAGGTGTGGATTTTTGTTTGTTGTTGTTGTTTGAAACAGGGTCTTTCTATGTAGTTCCTGCCTGTTCTGGAACTTGTTTAGACCAGGCTGTCCCAGTCAGTGTTCTGTTGCTGTGAAGAGACACCATGACCATTAACTGTAACTTTGGTTACAGCAAGGAAAGTAAAGAACTCAATAGCACTGGACAAGGACCATGGGAGAGAGAATTCTTTTAAGAACAATCTTAGGCATCTTTATTTTGCTGTTTTAATTTTTAAATATTATTATTCATTTTTTTTTATTCTTTTAACAGTTTCATATACGTATGCAATAAATTTATCTTTGAAATTTAATGTTAAGGTATAAGCAACCAGGCTGTGCAGCAAAGGCTATCATGAGCATTTATGCTTATGGAGGCATGGGCAGGAGAGAAATGATATGAAGAGAAAGAAAGTTTAAACCTGGGTACACATGGCTTTGAATGAAGAGCTCTCTTCCCCTCTCCTCTTCTACCTCCTTTTGCTTCCAGTCCTCTGTGCCTGTGCGAGGCAAGGGTGCTGATGTCGCACTGTCGTTCTCTTCAACAGGCTGCCTCGTTGGGGTTACTGCAGTTTCCTATCCTTAATGCCTCCGTGGATGAAAACTGCCAGAACATCACCTACAAGGTTGGCTCTGCATTTGGAAAATCCTGATAGAGCAGAAGATGGTGTAATGTGCCTGTGTTCTAACTCTTTTCAGACAGGAAGGAAAGACATGGCATAAGCCATGTCAGTTAAACTCAGTCTGCTGGCTTTGTTTTCACTGTTTAATAGATTTTGTTCTGGTGTGCAGCCTTCCCTTGTTAAGTCCTGTTGCTTTTCCATGTGAAATAGTGGAACTGCCCAGGTGGTAGGCATGCCTGCCTTTAGCCCCAGCACTCAGGAGGCACAGAAACAAAAGGTGCTCTTAAGTAGTGCAGGGGATCAGATCAACGCTTTTGCGGTATGCCTAATACACTGAGCTGTTTATCTGTCTAATCCTTCCTAATTAAATGTAGCTTATTTTAAAAACCCAGAGAAAATAACGTTTGCCTTCAATCCTGTCGCCTCAGTTAGTTCCCAGTTCACTTTGATATTCTTCCACGAATTCATTGAAGTAGTACATCATTTTTTGGATTTGCTTTTCTCTTTTTCATTTTATATATCATGGACATGGCCATACATCAATAGATGGAATGCTGTCATTTATTTACGGGCAAGAGTTCTCATTGTTATAAAACCACCTGATGCTGTTGATTCCTTCATTCTTTTGCATTTATTTCCTTAGCATAGTTTTTTATAAATACCATATGTATCTTCATGATGGAAGGAAAGAACTATTGTTCTCTGACCTCTGCGTGCGTGTCGAAGTGTCCGTGTGTACACACATAGGGCGTGCACACACATGTGATTTTACAAACTTAAAAAGATTACTGTTTCTAAAATAATCTTTTAAGTTTGCTTAAGCGATCTTTTCATTTGCATTTGTTTTATTGGGGGAGGGAAGAAGTGGCACACACTGCATCTCTCCTTTTACCCTGTAGGTTCAGGACTTTGCATTCAGCTTAGCAGAAAGTACCCTTTGCCCACTATAGTGTCTCATCAACCAAACTGTTTCTTCTAAGTTACTTCCATTCTAGTGAAAATGATGACTTTTATTTTTTGATTTTTTGGCTTTTTGAGTTATGGTCTTGCCATATGGCACAAGCTGGCTTCAAACCATCACTCCTTCTTTCTCAGCCTCCTGAATATTGGGATTATAGAGCACCATAAACCTGGCTTGGCAAAATAGTTTGGAATCTTTGTTTTAGAGAGCAGTAGAGTTTATCTTTTCTTTGTTGTAAGCTTTTGTATTAAAAGTTCTGCTGGTAATTTTGACGTCTTAGGCTTCTCACAACATTGGGATAGCAATGGATACTGAGCTGGGGTTGATTGTCCCCAATGTGAAGAATGTTCAAGTTCGCTCTGTATTTGAGATTGCCATGGAACTGAACCGCCTCCAGAAACTGGGCTCTTCAGGTCAGCTCAGTACCACAGACCTTACCGGAGGGACATTCACTCTTTCCAACATTGGATCAGTAAGTCACAGTGTTCAAATGTATAAGTATAACTTGAATTTCTGATCATATGCTCAAATAAAATGCAGCCATCATCTTGAGGCATTCCCTGAAAGCTAAATTTTCCCGTTCTTCTCAGATTGGTGGAACCTATGCCAAGCCGGTGATATTGCCACCCGAAGTAGCCATCGGTGCCCTGGGAGCGATCAAGGTATGCGTAGTGAGTAGCTGCAGGACAGTTCCAGTAAGCTGGGAGACTAAGCGTGAAGATGACTCAGTAGTGAAGGTCATCCCCCACTCTTCAGTTTATGTTTATCAAGTTTGGCTCGGTAAGCCTGTGCCTTCTGTTGAACTAGATCAGAGGGCACTGTGCAGTCCCAGCTGGCTTCAATTCTGGGCCCTCGTTCCCCGCTGGGGTTACAGGTATATGCTTGGCTGCAAGTGCCTTTATCTGTTGAGCCAGCTTGCCAGGCCTGTCTATTAAAACTAATAGTAAGGGGCTGTCGAGATGGCCCAATGGTTAAGAGCACTGACTGCTCTTCTAGATGACCTGAGTCCTCTAGTCCAATTCCCAGCGCCCACATGGAAGCTCATAACTTCCTGTAACTCCAAGAGCTGACACTCTCACACAGATGTACATGCAGGTTAAACACCAATGCATATAAAATGAAAATAAATAAATTTAGAAAAGATCTAATAATAAGTTAGAACTTATATTTTGTACATTTCTTATTTATTAATAGATGAGGGTTTTGGTTTGGTTTTTGTGTGTGAGGTGTGTGGGTGGTGGGGGGGTGGGGGGGCTGTGTACATGTCTTCATGTGTTCAGAGGCTCAACTCTCTATCACTCTGTACCTTTGACCCATGATCTCTTGTTGAACCTGGAGCTTGGGGGTTTTGCCTATGCTGACAGCCAGCAAGCTCCAGCCACCCTCAGCCACCTGTGCTGTACTGAGGTTACAGGTGTGTGTAGGCTCACATCGGGTTGCTACCTATGTTCTGGGATCGGGATTCTAGTCCTCGTGATTGTTTGCTTCTTGGTGCCAAGGATGGAACTTGTCTGTGCTAGACAAACTCTCTGTCAGTGAGCTACCCCCCAAAGCCCTAATGAATGTTTTTCAGAATAATCCATCATGGCTTGGGATTTTCGTTTTTAAGCTGGACAAACCCTGCCTTTCATGACATGCTGTCTGTCATCTGCTCTGGCCATGACCACATCTCCCACCCTTCCTCCCACAGTAGTTGTGAGACGGGTTCTCTGCTCCACTAACACTCCCGTCGTGCCCCAGCTCCAGTGTCCATGTGCTATGCTTCCTTGTTGCCTTCAGTGAGGAGTCTAAGTACTTGCCTTGTCTCAGTTGTGTTGTCTTAGGGTCTGAAGAGTACTTAGCGTGCAGTAATTAATAAGTGTTAACATTTGAAATATGAGTGAAATTTAATGTAAATATTATATACAGGGCAAGAGATTTCTTGAAGAATTAAAACTTAGGATACGGCCTCCCAAGGTTGGAGGACATAGAAAGCATTTTCAGAGGTCCTAGAGGATGCCGCTCACTGGCAGGGAGCCGGGTTTTCCAGACCTTACACCATTGTTGCCAGACCTTCCTTCCACTGTGAGCGAGTGGACGTTTACCCTTGTTTACTCTTCATATTTTCCATTATTTCTAGGCTCTTCCCCGATTTGACCAGAACGGAGAAGTTTATAAAGCACAGATAATGAACGTGAGCTGGTCAGCTGATCACAGGATCATTGACGGCGCCACCATGTCACGCTTTTCTAACTTGTGGAAATCCTACCTAGAAAACCCAGCGTTTATGCTGCTAGATCTGAAATAATGTCAAATAGGAAGCGCTGGGACTTCTTGCATTTCCGAAGAGTACGTGAGGCCTCACTGTGCCAGCATGTATTCTTGATACAGTCGCAAGAAAAGGTTTGTGTTGCCTGGTTAAGGCTCAAAAGCACAGTATTTACCGCTGTCACATTAGGTTCTTTGCTGAAAATGAACGATGGGGAGCGGTTCTGTTGTGTAGGTCAGAGGGTGACTTCCCAGTATGGTGCCGAAATCTGTGTCCATGAATTGAAACAGGCAACAAAACAAAATCAATGTCACCAAAAGGCAAGGAGCAATATACACGTGGTTTTTGCCTTGTTTCTCTCTGTTTTTTTAACTGATTTTTTTAACGAAACTTTAAAATTATACTTAATTAGGGAGATTTATATACAAATGTGTTTTTCATTTCTTTCCTATAAAATAAGTGCAATTCTACTTATCTCTCAGATAATGAGACATGTACTCTTTCTTGCCTTATGTGTAAAGTAACATCTGTAAATGGCTTATAGCTATAAAATAGTATTCTGTAGAGGGGGAGTTATAGTTTCATCTTGATTATAGTTCACAACGAAAAAGGCTGTCAAAAGTAAATTTTAAAATAGACTTCTAGAACTTCTAGAACTTCTAATGCTTTGGCATTTTGCTGGGAAATACTTGACTTTGCCAACTCACTTTGTGATGTAAAATACCATAAAAAAACGCCAGCTTCTGGCTTTTTTTTTTTTTTTTTTAACACTTAAGAGATTTATTGCCTTCTAATTTTATTGATCTTCAGGTAAACACAAGAAAAGGACCTGGAATCTATTCTGTTTTGAGCATGAATAAGAAGAGAGTCAAATGGGAAATTGTGAGCATAAAATTAGTTTATGCAGAAATGCTACTAATGATTATCTTGATAAAGGTATGCTTTAGTCAGATAGCATCAGGATGAATCTAATTCAAGGCTGGGCAATCCTTTATTCCCAGCACTTGAGGAGCACACAGATGTGTGGATCTCTGTGAGTTTGAGGCCAGCCTGGTCTACATTGTGAGTTACCAGATAGCCAGAGCTATGCAAAGAAATCCTCTTTAAAAAGAAAAGAAAAGAAAGAAAGAAAAGATAAATCAAATATAGTATCTTGAAATCTAGATTTGTTTTCTTCTGCTGCTATTACCTAATTGAATATATCATGACAGAATTATTTGTTTAAATGAAGTTTTTTGACAGTAGGAAAAAGGGTCATTTTAATGCCTACTTGATTTTTTTTGAAAAAGGGAAATAGTCTATAAAGTAATGCTGTTTGTTTTGAAATTCAAATCATGAAACCCATTATTTTTACATAAAGAAGATTAGCAAAAGAAAATCAATTCAGAACCACGAACTTTGTCCATAGGCCTGTAATTCCCACACTTGGGAGTCTAAGGCAGGGGGACCCTGACTTCAAGGCCATGCCAGGCCACACAGTGAGACTTTCTCTGAAGAAAAGAAAAAACTGCAGATAATGTGGAGTAACCAACTGTAATCTATAATCTTAGCACTGTTAACATTATAATGTATTTATCTACGGACATAGATAGGTATTCTTTTATAAAAATGAAATCATAATGTATCTACTATTTTATAATTTGATTTTTTAAATTTATCATTATATTATGGATACCTTTATAGGTCAATAAACAGTTCTACATTGTCATACTTTGTATGACTGGATAGTTCACTGTGTATGTTATTTTTTACTATTTCTTTAGTGTGTATATATGTGTGTGAGCGCACACACACGCATATGCCATATATGTGGAGGTCAGAGAACAGCTTGCGGAAGCCAGTTCTCCCCTACTACAGTTTTGTTGTTTGGCTGTTTTTCCTTTCCTTCCCTTTTTTTATTTTGTGTGTATATCATTGTATATATTATACATTCATATATTTATTGAACCTTGAACTGAACTGGGGACATGACTAGAATCCAGGCATTTGGTGAGCTAAGGCAGGAGGGTTGTGTGTTCTAAGTCCTTTGGGCTACGTAGTGAGAGCCAGGCCACACTACCCCAAATTAAACACCTACTATAGTCTTAGTATGGAGACAAGCACTGCTCCCATAATGCATTCCTCCTTGGTCTCTGCCCTTTTTTCACTTACAGTCTAGGGAAGGTGACAGATATTAACTAGCTAAAAAATTCATACAGTTACATCACTATGATGGAAAATCCAACAAATAGGGTGCTGTGAGCCATGTGAAAAAAGAGAATCCTAAGATGGACATCCCGTCGTTAAGCTCCCTGTCGCTTAATTTAAAGTGAAAGGTAACCATGATCGGTGAAAATTTACTCCTTATTTGAAGAGCAAAAAAGCTAAGAGACAGGCATGCTGGGGGAAAAGCAAGCATGCAACATACTCACCTGAAGATCCAGTGTGATTGGCTCAAGACGTTTCCTGCCTTACCAGGAGAAGCTTTGAGCAGTTATCCCAACTCCCTGCTGTTATCCTCTTACTTGTCATCCATTGAGAACAGTGGAAAATTTATTTCCTTCTGTGTGCAGGGCCTTGGGGAGAGCACATATCCTTGGAGGAAATCAGAGGACCTAGAGCATGATTCCAGCAGCATGGCTGAGCCATAGGTGTAGGCTAGTGAGTAGAGTGGACACCCTGGGACAGGGAGACCTTCCAGTGCTCCTAGAGTTGAAATTAAATCAGGGAGGTCAGAAAGTTCAAGTTCCTCATTAACATGGAAATAATTGAGGTTACATGGTCCATGTACATCTGGTGAGAGGAGAAGCCCAGTCACTGCTGGAAGGGGCTGGTGAGAAAGGCAAAGAAAGCTCTCCACTTGCTATGAACATCATTTCTCTGATCTTTGCGGAAGAAGAAAGTTTGAAAGACCAGAACCAGAGCTGGGTGCAATGGCACACACCTGTAATCCCAGAACTCAGGGAGGCACAGGCAGGTGGGTCTACAAAGAGAGTCCAGGACAGCCAAGGCTACACAGAGAAACCCTGTCTTAGGAAGGAAGGAAGGAAGGAAGGAAGGAAGGAAGGAAGGAAGGAAGGAAGGAAGGAAGGAAGGAAGGAAGGGAGGGAAAGAAAGAGAGAAAAGAAAGAAAGAAGGAAAAAAGGAAAGAAAGAAAAAAGACGAACCAGAATGGGTATGAATGTCCGGCATGCTGACCTTAAACACAACTTATGTTGAAACTTGTGTAAGTTGTGGTTGTGTCAAAAGGTTAAGGGGGCAGTTTGTCTGGGAAGTCCACTGGCCTGTTTTGGTACTTCACAGTGTATATTCCAAGGTCACTTTGTGGAGGTTTTTTTTTGTTTTGTTTTTGTTTTTTTCTGACTTCTAAGTGAGCTCTGTCAGAAGGAGATGGTGTTCAGCAGGACAGTGTGAGGAGCACAAACCTTCCCTAGAGGTCATTTAAGCCTTGCTAGTATTTTTGCATACTTGATTAGTTAGTTCATTCTATGTGTAAGCATTGAGTGAGACCCAGATACAGAGTTGGGGAGAGAAATGTGGATAGATAAATGAATGGTTTTTCAGGGATCTTTGCAAAGGTACCTGGACCAGACCATCAGCTACATTTAGGCCCTTACTATGTTTTCTTTCCCTTGAACTGCCTCCAAACTCAAAGCATTCACTGACAGGGGCCTGGGAATGCACGCTGATTCCCGTGGCAAACATCGCTTTGCTACATCAGCCAGCAGTGCATTTTCTGTGTTCTGGACATGCCCAGAAGCACAATGTGGAGAAGAGCAGAGCCTGTTCCGTAGAATGAATTCTGTGTGGATCCTGAGACAGAACCGGTCCCAAGTTACCCCAGAAGAATAAAGAGATTGACTTCAAAGCCAACTCACAATTGATACCATGTAAAAGTGCTTTGTGCTCATTCACACGCATATTGAACATAAAGTACATCTAAATAAAATATACTAACAAATTAACTGGGCAGATGAAGTGTCTCTACTTCTGGCTTACTGCGTAGTGGATGATACCATTGCTAGATGACACGACATGGGCCAGGTCTGGTAGCACATGCCTTTGATCCAAATACCTTGGAAGCAGGTGGATCTCTGTGAATTTGAAGCCAACCTGGTCTACACAGTGTGTTTCAGGACAGCCAGGGCACTGTAATGAGACCCTTTTTCAGACAGACAGGTAGGAAGATAGATAGACAATCAGATAGATCAGGACAGCCAGGGTAATGTAAAGAGACCCTATTTCAGACAGACAGATAGGTAGGTAGATAGACAGACCATCAGATCAAGACAGCCAGGGCACTGTAAAGAGACCCTATTTCAGATAGATGGATGGATGGATAGATAGATAGATAGATAGATAGATAGATAGATAGATAGATAGATAGATAGATAGATAGTAAAGAGACCCTATTTCAGATAGATTAGATTAGATTAGATTAGATTAGATTAGATTAGATTAGATAAATAGATCAGGACAGCCAGGGCACTGTAAAGAGACCCTGTTTCAGATAGATAGATAGATAGATACATGGATACATAGATATTCCTACCTATTAGAAAAGCTGTGTTTCTAGACAGTTCTTTTTTGTAAAAAAAAAAAAAGTTTCTGTCTGTGTCTATGTATGTGGGTGGGCCTCCCATGGGCAACCCGTGGGAGTTGCTCTCTCCTCCCACCAACAGCCTTTACCTGCTGAGCCATCTCGCTGACCCACCTAGTCTTACTGTGGTTGTCCTGTTTCAGTGTTTCCCCCAAAGCATGTGTTGGTGTCAACTTCCATTGACCTATGCAGCTCTGTCTGCAAGATCTAGGATTGGAGGACATTTAATAATGGAGGGCTGAGGTGAGAGCTACAGTCTTGTGCTGCAGACAACTTTAGTTTCTGCTTTACACACAAAACGGAAGAAAGAAAGCAATGATCCAAGGAAGGTTTGCATTTAAAACATGTAAATAACACCAGTAAACACATACTAAATATTAACAGAGCAACTCTTGTAGAACTTTCTCAGATCAAACCAATATAAACACAATTGCCTGGCACATGCTATAGATTATATCTGGAAAAGCAATTAAACAAGGCAGAAGGCCATAGCTAGATTCAGGGCACAATGAGGACAGCACATATCCTTTCTCCAAATTAGGTTCAATAGCTATGTTTCGACATCCAACGAGAATAAAGATGTCTCATAAATTGAATGCAAATGTTTGTTGCAGGTGGCACAAAATCTCATCCAAGAACAATGAACTTAAAAGGCCCTCTGTCCTTTTCCCCGGAGCCTTTCTCAGTTCCCCATGGCATCGCTCACCACATTGTTGACCGTGTTGGGACATGTTGGTAACTTAATCCCCAATGAAAAACCTTGAGAGGGAGGCCCTGGGGGTCGAGATGCTCAAGTCATGAGGATGCCAGCCTTGTGGGTGGACTAACACGGGTTGTGGAAGGACTTGAGGCTGGGAGTCCCGTCTCTTGCCTCCTCTCCTGTGACGCCGTCCACCATGCTGTAATGCAGCAAACTCACCAGATGTGACCGCCGGAGCTTGAATTTCCCAGTCTCCTGGACTGTAGGGTAAATCTTTCTTCTTTAAAAGTTACCCAGTCTCACCAGGTGTGCTGGCACGTACCTTTAATCCCAGCACTTGGGAGGCAGAGGCAGGTGAATCTCTCTGAGTTCGAGGTCAGCCTGGTCTACAGAGGGAGTTCCAGGATAGCCAGGGCTCTGTTACACAGAGAAGCCCTGTCATGAAAAAACAAAAACAACAATAACAATAACAAAAAGTTACCTGGTCTCAACTATCCTGTTAGAGCAACCCAAAACGGAAGGCAATGGTTTTGTTCCTTTCCCACATACGCTATTTAAAAACTAAGACTGGTTCACTGCATCTCTCCTTAACTCCAGTCTACCTCATAACTCCTACCTTACAAACCATCTGACCCCATATCAGGACCTACTCTGTCCCCAGGCCTCAGGAAACCTCTATCCAAGTTCTTAGTGGAACTTTTACCATCTTTGGTCTTTTTCTAGAATCTAAGAAAAAAAAATGGAGGCTGTCTAAAGAAACCCACAAAAGCCAACTGAAATATTACACGAACACATAGCTCTGGTATGCAGAGGCCATCTCAATCAGGCTTTACAGAGGGCCACGTGGGGTGCTATAATTCAAAGCACAGGCAACAGCTGTTCCTGGTGGTAATAGGAGACGGGAGAAAGAGAATGACAGCAAGTGGACATCAGGAATTTAGGGTCTAACAGCAACTAAAAAGGAAATCATCAGGGGAAAAAAGGAAGAAAAAATAACAGGTTATATAAACATGGGGGGAAACGAATGAACATCTCTTTTTAATTTACTGTGCCCCCGACACCTCATTCAGCATATGGGAAAGGGCTGGGATGTAGCTCAGCTGATGGCACGCTTACCTAGCATGCAGAAGCACTACATAAAACCCAGAATGGTGTGCGTGCCTGTAATCCTAGCACTCAGGGATGGATGCAGGAGGATCAGGTGAAAGGTAAGAGTTGGGGAGGAAGTGGAGAACACTGGAATTCTCTGGTAGGAAGTGTGCATCAGTACAGCTTTGGGGAAACAATATGGCCATACATATCTCACTTTCTCTTTGTCTCTGTCTTCAAGGTCTCGGGGACACTAGGCTGGACTCAATAGAGGAAATATTATGATGAAATGCATTATTTTGTAGAAACAATATATGCTAACAAACCATAATAATATATAGTTTTATAGAGCTGTGGATACAAG